CCATTACACATGTTTAAGGGTTAGGGTTTTCATAAAACAGAGAGGTACACAGGTGGTGCTCTGTAAATATGTTGGTTTATTCTCTCACATTAAAACAGGAGCATCAGAAGCTTTGTAATGTGTGTGAAGGGCACAATAGTGGGGGGTCTGGGGGTCCTCCCCCAGAAAACTGAATTTAGTAGATGAAGTTTCCTGCATTCTGGTGTATTTTAACTGGTTCCTAAACATATTTTACCTAGATGAAAAACACTTGATTAAATAAACAAATTAGAGACACATTATTCATTCAACTAGTTGCATCATCTTGTTTTTAAACTCACTGCTATAGCCACTATAATTAATGTGACACAATTTATCACAAACAATGATTTTAGAGAATCATTGTAAGTTTGTATCGTTTATTCTTGATTTAGTTTTATTTGTAAGAGAACATGTCATTGTGCCAAGCAATGATGACCCTCAACTGCACGTTTAAAACTAAGAACATTAAAAACTTTACCCAATGAACAGGTAAAATAKTGATAACCACCAACAGTGAATTTAGGGGGCATTTCTTTGCCTGATTTAATGACAGGTCCACTCATAACAAACTGACATGACATCATGCAGCCTTCAGAACATAAACTAACTCTGTGCCAAACAATGACATAAAGAAAATAACTTTTGTCAGTGTTGGCAGCTTGTATTATGAAAAACTGATRCATGGCTGTTTGGAACTTGTTAGAACACTAATGATGGATGGATTGACAGATATATTTATTGACAGAGTTGCACATAAGAGGTGCGCAGGTGCCCATGCGTGGCCAAAAAAAGAATAAGCGCACCAGATGGAATGTCATGTGGAATGTCATGAAGCTCATTTGCGTACCTGAGATTGTCTGTCAAAACAACAGTTAGCAGGGCTCTAGAGTGTGACCAGTTTGGTTGCAAATGCAACCTGATTTCTTTTAAAAAAAATTAAAAAATCCAGCTGCACTGATGTGACCGGATCGTATTCGGTGCTCACCGAGCCTTAGGACAGTGGGAACCTGATATAAAGTTTAAACTGAGACACTGCCTTCAACAAATCAGACCAAGTCCAGAGCTGTTTTATCCAATCACAGCAGAGCAGGGCGGGACTTTCAGTGAGAGCAGGTTTGGTTGAAGCAGCGGCCCGACTCGAGCAGATAGGCGCCGATTCTGTGGGTGCTCGGATGGAGCACCCACAGAGATCTCCGAGGCTGCAGCCGGCTGCAGCTAGCTGCAGCGGTCAGTCCTGACATCTCCTCCTGCACTTTGCTCCTGAGCTATCAGAAACTTTGGTCTGTAAAACCTAACTTTATATTAAATATATGTTCAGAATGTTGTTATCGAAGAGATCTGTCACACTCTGTGTGAGTGGCAAACTCTCCTCCTGATGAGAGACTGCTGTGATGGGAGCACATTGCTGCGTGTGCAGGCTGAGTCTTTCTGTGAGATTCACTGTTTACAGAACATTTGTTTGCCCCATATTAAAGCAAAGATGATTCTCTGTTTAACATCACCCCTATCAAAAAAAATTATGTTTATTAATAAAATAAAAACTACTTGCCATGTTCTCTGGGTGAATGAGTTTTAAATGTTATTTTAATTTATCATAAASATCCACAAATTTCATTCAAAAACTGAATAAAAAAAACAAGGTTCTTAATGTGCTAAACTTGTTTATATTTAGGATCATACTGTGACACAGCTGCTCTGGGATGAATGTAATTTATTAAATGATCAAATACGAAGAATAAATGATTACATGAGCTGAAACCGTCTAAATAATACATTTTTGAATAAAATAGTCTTTTAAAAAAGAAATCAGACTAACAAATAAAACATTTGTATGTTTTAAGTTATTTTGTTCTGTGTGAAAAAGAGATATTTGCTGCTTGGACTGGAGAGTGTGGAAATCTGGTTTAACCAAGGCCAAAGAGAAGACCAAACAGGAGTTGTCCATGAGGGACATGTTAGTCTAAAAGACATTTAACCATGAAATGTTCAGTTTGTGATGTTTATATGACATACACCCAGCCCCTCGGCCACTTGGTAGTTTACAAAATTTATGCAGAGTAAAAAAATTAAATAACAATCTTGGTGGACTGATTTGGCATGATGTCCTGAGATGTTGCAGCTGACAGAAGTCATAAAACAGAACAGGGGGACGTTAGATGCCCTGATGCCCATATAGATAAATGTGTTAAATGAGTGAAGGAAAATATGAGCACCAAGCAACAACCCTADGTTCTCCCCTGAGAGCCAGACCAAAAATTTTATGTGCAACCCTGTTTACTGACCTTTATTTAACCAGACAAATCCTAATTGTTTATTTAAAAATGATAGCAAATMTCTGTCTGTTGCACAGAACAAAATAACTTGAAAATACTTTATTAGACTGAATTATCTTTTTAAATTACTATTTTTAAACAGTTATTTAAATTGTTCAAGCTCATGTAATCATTTAATACTGTTTACTCTACATATTTGATCATTTAGTGAATTACATTTATCACAGAGCAGTTCTGTATGGTTCTAAATATAAACAAGCAGTGAAGAATGAAAGTTGTATACTTAGGATAAACTACAGAAACATTTGAAACACGCTCACCTGGAGAACATGGTGCTGTTCTCCTGGTGAGGATGAGGAGATAAATGTTAAATGGAGATTCATCTTTGTTTTAATATGGGACAAACAAATGTTAGTAACAGTGAATCTGACTCAYAGCATGCACGCRCTGCAGCGCACTCCCGAGGTGGTCTCGGCTCAGTTCGCGCTTTGGTACATGCACACAGCATGCATCCACGCCAGTGATGGAGGGGTTTATATTTGGCGCTTACATTATTGTAGTAATCTCCAATATGATACGTAACAGAACACTATAACTTGTGAAATGTTGTAGAATAGGAGAGCAAAAGCATGACAGAYGAACAAACTGTTTGAAAGTTGCGCGTCATGCGCAGCCTTTGCACAAGGAGCTTGGTCACGCATGCAAAGTTGGACATATCTGTTGGATAATGGTGCTCTGAGAACAAATATTTAATATAAAGTTAGGTTTTATAGACCAAAGTCCAAGGAGTGAAATGAGGGAGGAGAGGTTTCACTCTGGACTGACCGCGGTGTTGCTCCTGCAGACTGCTCACCTGCTGCTTTACTGACCCGCCCTGCTCCACTCTGCTCTGATTGGATAAAAGTGCTCTGGGGTTTGTTTCATTTGTTGAAAGTAGTGGTGCGTTTAGAGGTAACCTGGGTGGCTTTAACAAGACCGCAACAGAAAAACAGAGCTGTTGTTTTGTCCCCACCCGACCCCACAGATAACGGAAATCCATCCTGGCCACGATCAAAGTGACGGAAATCYGTCGTGGCGACGGAGAACTTCAAGCCCTGAAAATTACAGGCTTCAAAACCWAATAAAAAAACTGGTCTTGTGACTTAAAATAGGAAACATTTGACACTCGTGACGAGGCAGCATGGTGGCGCCGTTGTTAGAGCTGTCACCCCACAGCAAGAAGGTGCAGCTTTGCTTCCTGGCCTTCCTGTGTGGAGTTTGCACGTTCTCCCTGTGCACGTGTGGGTTTTCTCTCCGGGTACTCCAGTTTCATCACACACACCAAAAACCTGCATGTCAGAATAACTGGTGACTCTAAATTAACTCGAGGTGCGGCTGAGAGTGTGAATGGTTGTTTGTCTCTGAGTGGCCCTGTGATCGCTTTTCAAATAAAAAAAGCTTAAAAAGCTGTTTTCATACAGCTTCAGCAGATCTTTGTTGCTCACTGTACCTGCAGGTGAGACATGAGGGCAGCTGCTCATCTTCAGCAGTTTCAGGGTGTCGCTGTTGTTGGCCACCAGCACCTTCAGAGACGGATCGTCAACCGGTGTGTCGTCAATCTTCAGGGAAGACAACGATTTGGAGTTGACGAACACCACAGTGAGAGCTGAGATAAAATGAGACTGTGGAAGAACAAACAAAACAACGACTGAACACRCCTTTTTCTGAAATAAATCTTTGTGATTGTAGTAAATCTAAAAAATGTTTGTTTTTGACGCACAACAAATTTGTGCCCATTTTAGTTCATGGTGGAGTTGCAGCCAGAAAACGTAGACACACTTACACCTACACATAAAATATGCCCAAAAACAAAAACGGTGCGGATTCTGCCTTTAAAGGTTTCCAGACATTTTCCTTTTTAATACCAGGATGTGGGACGACTTCTTCCAGTTCTTACCTTTACCTTGACACTTTTACAAAAATAAAAAAATATTAAAAGGCTTTTAATGGAATTCAGGTGCGACTGTTACGGGGCTAATATACATAAAACCCACTTCTATTACAAAAAACTGGTATTTGTAGCCTCTAAGAATTATCTACTGATGACAGAACCAGCAACATATTTTCTTTACATTGTAAACTATTCAGCAGAATCTGACAATTTGCTGACAGAAAATTGTAACATTCTTGGATATACTTACATCTTTAGCAGTCTAWCTGTATATATTTTTGATATTGAAACAACTAACAGTTTGTATGTTTATAAAATTCACAAAGTCTTTCAAAAGAAATGAAAAATGTCCAGGTTCTTCCTGCGCTCATGGATTGCTCACATGTAAATGCAAGGTTTCTGGCTGTTCTGAAGTCAACATTGAAACATTTTTAAACAAACAGCTTTCTGGGTTACACAGATATGCTGAGGTTCATGAAGAAGTCTGTGCATTGCGGAGTCTAAACAATGATTTTGCAAATAACATCATGCACCAGTTGAAGCAAATCTGACCTTGTCTGGGTGTGAAACAGATATTTCTGTAAATTTATCTGTAGTCGAGAACATCTGTTTCATTGACACAACTTAAAAACAAAAAGAGCATTTATAATAAAGATTGCAAGAAAAAAACAAAAATATGTGGTAGTACATTATGAGATTTCTTTTGACTTTTTATAGTAACACAAAATAATAAATAGAAATGCGAACAACTGCATTAACTATACCTTTGGAACCTCCATGAAACTGGGCCGGGCTGTGGAGATGAGTCCCAGGGTCTTCAGTGAGCAATTCACCAACTGTGACAGAATATCACATGCTGCCTCTGCAGACTCTGTGCTACTGTCCACCTGACCAGAATAAACAATAACAAGAAGATAAAAGATTTAAAACAAAATAAAAAAAAGTACAGCAAAACTGCAGATACAGGTTTCCTATTTTTACCTTGAAGCTGACRTACTGAAGGTGGTTGGAGTGCCTCTTTATGATCTGCTTGATGAGGTCTGGGTGTGTGGCTTTCAAGTATGAGCTCGCTGGCTGGTTCAGCTCAAACTCGAAGCATCTCCAGAGCTCAGGCATGTGAAAAGCCTGGTTCCACCCACGGCACACCTGAGAGGCATACGCCCGGTCGAGCAGTGGAAGGTGCTGGAAAATGTGCAGCAGGAGCTCCTGAGGCAGCAGCGACCAGTCACAGGCCCGTGACTCACCAGCCACCGCTGCCTCCGACTCCTCGCTCATCTGCTTCCGCACCTTCTTGCACGCCTCAGGCGGGCTTTCGCTGGGGCACGCATTGCTGACCTCCTCTCCCCCTTTTATCCGTTTCATCCTAAGAGAAACAGGAAGTGGTTTTTAAAGTCGAGAAAGTGCTACTCCGTGCAGACGCACAGAAACGACCCGCATCAGCAGAAAACTGAGAAATGGATTTGTCTTTTTATACTCGCTTCCTTTCCATTTGATTTTGATAAATATTAATCTTCATTCTACATAAAATTAGCCCTTTCAAAATTCCATTACATGCTTATAAATGATTGGTCCCTTTATTATTACTTTTATTACAAACCCTGTTGAACATTCAGGCAATTACAGATGCACCTTTCAGCACATTTCACTCGTAAGAGTTAAGATAATTTTTTGGGCTTTAGAACCATAAAACTAGAAAACTATTTTCCTGAAAAGCAAAAAACGGAGAACTTGAGCTGCACAAAGTTGTGGCAGGACTTCTTTCTTGAGTAAAACAAGCTAAGGTTACATTTCTGGATGATGATGTGTTCAGAACAGATGATTAGTCAAAGTATTTCTGGGTCCAGTCATGATGACTTGATGGGACTCTGCAGTGCCTGAGGGCTGGAAGATCACAGTCATCAGGCTTGGCCTTTAGATTTTGAGATTTCCCGAGACGTGGCCATTTGTACATGCTAAAATATGAYCGGATAGTTAAACATTATAATTATATTGTCAAAAAGATTGTTAGTTTAAAATGTGCTTTATTTCTGGAATTATTCATCTTCTTTTTATCTCATAAGTCTGACCTAAAATATCCTAAAATTACCTGTTTCTGTTACTTTAATCACAACACGTTTGCTCTTTCAGGTGGTTTAAATCTAAACCCCATTTATTTTACAATTGCATGCATTTTAAATGCAAATGCATTAATGTTAACTAACTTAACTCTGGTCGATCAACATATTTTACTCTGAATTTAATAAACACTACCCTTCACGTTTCACTCGCATTCCTGGCTGCTTGTTAATCACACTTATTCAAACCAGGTGTGTCAAAGCAAACATCTAATCATGCAGAGTTGTGTTTTTCATGTGACTCCTCCAATGAAAAAACGTGAGAAACGTGACAGTGATCAATGCTGGCATTACAGGTACACTCATCACTACGGAGTCGTTTTCTACAAAATCATAACACACATGAGAGGTTTTTTAATGAACTGATCATAAATGAGTTGGAACATGTTTACATTGCTAAAGCGAGCAGTGATTTTAACAGTTAGCTAAGTTTGTGCTAGCTTGTTTAGCATCACTATATTTCTCCTTCCAGAAATATTATATCTAACTAGAAGTTATATCTGTGTAACTAGTAATTCTATGATGACATGCTTATTGCGCACTGACAGCCAGCGTCTTGGCCAAGCCTCCTACCTTTTTGTTTACACACACAGCTAGGTCTGTTAGCCGGTCTGGTGGAAAATCCGTACACTGGTTTCACTCTTCAACCCGGACCCACGRAGGAAAAACTCATTCGTACCAACAAAATAACTCGCATCGGAACTCAATGACGGTCTGASGACAGAAAATAAGAGCGTACAACCTCCGCTCACCTGACCTAATTCCTCTGAGTGAGCTTCAACAACCCCCCCTACCCTGAAATGGCGAGGTGTTGTTTTGACAGCACCGGTGCCTTATGGGAAATGTAATGCGAAATGGCTGTTGGTAAAGATCGTCTGTGTTCGTACGATGCCTCACCCGACTGCAAAAACAAATGGGCACGTTTGCTTATTTTCCCCTGAGGTGAAAGAGGATTACTTACATGAACATTTTAAGAAAGATTTATTTTAAAAGAAGTTCTTTCTTTCTTTTTCTCCTACCTAGAAAGAAAATAAACTTAACTGCTTTCAATTGAATTTATTCATATTTATTATACTATTGAAAGTGACTAAATAATGTATTAAATTTACAAATAAATTCAAATTGATATTGTTTAAAAAATGACATGAAAATATCAAACTGTTATTTATGCAACTCATAGAACAGATGAATGCAAAGAAAAAAATGAACTTCCAGTCTAGCAGTTACCCATATCACTCTCTTTCTCCTTATCAAATACATCTTTTCATGTGTCGACTACAATAAATTATTTAATTCAAAGTTCAGTATTAATTCAAAAACTGATGACACAGTGGGTACTTTGTGTAACAGAGATTCTGGTTTATTACCATTCAACTCCATCCACCACAGATATTACAGAGCAGATTCACAAGTAATAAGCTTTGTATTTAACAGCAGCTGATTTTAATACCCCCCTCCCACACACACACACACACACACACACACACACACACACACACACACACACACACAGTTTCCCTGCTCCCAATCTCTCTGACTCGTTCAAGGGGGGAAAAAAAGCATAACAGGTGCACATTTTTCTTTTTTTGGTGTAAAGACTGGCCCCTTGTATTGTTCAGCTGTAATCTTATTGAGTTTTTTTTTTCTTTTTAATTACTGTAGGATTTTGGTGCTTTTTTTATTCATCAAAGCTACAAACAATATACATCCACTATCTTTCGCTTCACTGCATGTGCCGGGCACCCCTGTTCCTCATTTCCTGACAACAGAAGAGATAACATTTTGAAGAGGAGGGGGGAAGAAAACGACTGTCTACTGTATAAAAATGTACAGTGGCTTTATTTGACATACATTCCATAGATTTAAACAGCTGCAAAAGAGGAGGCACACCCAGTATTGCACTTCAATAAAAGATCTGGGTCAAAACAACCCAGAATATCAAACAAAACTGAAGTGAAGAGAGCGAAATACAGGTACTTTGAATAGTATCATTATATACAAGATTAGATAAATCATACACTATTTTCCCCCGAATGTAATAAACTTAACAGTCTTTTCAACCAGCTCATCTTTTTTTTTTTCTCGTCCATCAACCCATGATGCACTTGACAGAAGAATACTGTACAAGATTACGAAAAGTTTACATACAACATTTTAAATTTATAGTTAGGAAGCTGGAAATATGGCCCGTTCCTTTTTTCTTTTTTTTTAAACCCACTCTCATCCACAGTTGCCTTTATGCAAATGTATATCATATTTGATGTTTAATTTTGTTACAGTTCAGTGATTGGGAGGTGTGCAACGTCAATAGAAGCCGAGGGAATACAACGGCCGCATGCAAACACTTCACAAAWTTTTTTTTAAATATATTTCTTCCTCTTTTTTTTATTGTTCCTTTTTCCCCATTCAGGTTACTCTGAATCTGAAGGAGCTCCAGCTTGCGCTAGCAGCAGAGCCTGGATACTCGTGTTGTTGAAGACCTGAGGACTCTTGATGGAGAGCAGAAACCTGGTTTCGGCACACAGGAGACTTCATGCAAGAGYCGAGCTTGGCTGCTGAGCTTTCTGCAGCAGCAGGGAGAAATCACAGTAGACCCGACTGGTTCCCAGTAAAAGTCTTTTGCAGGTTAGAAGGTGTGAGCGTTTCTGCACACCCCACAGCCCAGAGCAAACTCTTCACCCGTGGGTGGGTGGACCACATGCAGAGGACACTCCGTGCCCTCCAGCTGYTTGCCTTTGGGCCCTGTGCCAGAGGAGATGAGAATTAAATTAATCATAAGCATATTGTTACTTTTTACAAAAAATTCTATAAAGSTGATAAAAACCAATATTCTGATAAGTGCTGAAGTTAAGAACAAGTGCTTTTATTTTACACCGTAAGCACTAAAGATAAATTGGTAAGTTGGACGGAAGCAAGTGCAAGAACAGCAAAAAATAAAAAATCTAGAAACTTCAGAAGAGAAAAAAACCCTGAGACTAAAGATTGCCTCTGGAGGTATTTGAAGTTTAGTTCTGATGATTCAGGAATACATTAGTAATATTAAAAAGAGTCTTTGGTGATACGTTACAGTAATTGCAGCTTTAGTTATAGGAGACATATCATGCTTATAAATCCTTCTTTTTACATTTAAATCATTCAGTTGTGGTCTAAGTGGAACTGCAATGCTTTGGGCTTAATTCCTCCTTACTGTAACTCCACAAGMCCCTCTTTCACCACWTTTCTCAGGTGCGTCTCAGATCAACTCRTTTTKAGGCTGTCTCTTTAAATCTAAACGAGGTGCTTTACACCCCTTCAATAGGATATTTCTCATTTAACACAGAAAGGCCTGTGTGGATGTTTGTCTTTGTGTTAGAAAAATATCTTGTGAACCATTGTATAAATTTTAATAAAACTCTGACAGTAATCATCAGATGTACGTCTACAACTTTAATTAAGATGACCACTTCAGCTAATTAACCATGGCAGGCAAATATGACAGCCCTGATTAGCATCTGAGTTTGATTAATTGTTCATTGACCATAAAAATGTTCACTCAGCACACCAAACTGTCAACACGATGTTAGGTGTCATTAACATTAAATGTTATGACTTCCCCATCAATGGTCCTGAATAAGACTAAATAAAACGACGGACCTGCAGGACAATGGGGCAGCTCCTCCTTGGGGACACTGGTCATCCTCTGGAAGTCRTCATGGCAGGCGTTGCAGAAGTGTGTGGTGCCAAAGCAGAAGAAAACAGCCACGGAGCAGCAGTACCGACATTTATACTCAAGGAAGTCTGTGCCGTGCTTGGAGCACATCTGATGGGAAAGAAGAGCAGAAATAGCAAAAAATAGGAACGTGATTGTTTTTCARATATATTAGATTACATTTTAGGAAACAAACATTTTCTATCTTTTKGAGAAATTGTGGAACTCCCTGAAAAATCAGCTGCTTCATTTATAACACATCAGTTTTTGGATAAAACAGATGACCTAACACAAGCTAACTAGCTGACAAATACAGATTTTCTTTAGACACCCAGATCCCAATCTTCTAATCCGGCTCTGAATAAGAAGGAACATGAATATTTTGTGCAATATATTTTATTCCTGGTGGCAGCACAGCCAGCTTATCCACCTGAGCCCTGGAGACATCTGAGCACGCTCCACAGATCAGCTCACTGGGGTCGTAGTCGTCACCCTGTCCTGCCTCTGCATCACACCGAGCCTCTCCCCCAAAATATGCCTACAAAAACAGGAAAAGGTTACATTTCCATCCATGTCCAGCTCTCCAATAACAACCTCTTGCATCCTGTCGTCACCTTTTTGCACTTGTAGCAGACGTAGTATGCATATCTGTTCATTGCAAAGCCTGCAGGGTCACTGTGGAAGCGTGCTCCTGGTGTGGTGATGGCCTCACTCTTGTGAAGGCCTTCGTACTCCAACCTCATTAGAGCCTTCCTCCTCACATCCTCATACAGCTCCTTAATGGGGTCGAGGAGGTCTTTGATCACAGAGTGATTGATTTTGTTCTGTAAACAAACAAACAAACAAACCAGCCCATGTGCATTAAAGTTCTTCTGCTGAGGGRCAGTCTGGTCATTTGAGGCACTCTACTAACAATGTACCTTGCAAATAGGACACAACATGAAGCCAAAAGTAATCCGGGGTCCAAGCCAGCGATTTTCAAGCACACGCCGAGTGCACTGAAGGTGAAACACGTGAGTGCAGTCCAGCTGGAAAACAGACCCAACAGTTAGACATCACAGGAAAGCAAAGAGACATTTGGAAGGTGAAACTCTTGAAGTCAAAGCTACCTGTACTGCAGGAGCAGCAGAAAGAGCTTCTGTAAAGCAGATCATGCACATGTCGTCTGCATCCTGTTTCAGACAGCCTGCGTTCTTATCGCAGCCGTGCAGACACGGCAGGCAGGAGTCCTCGTTCTTAACTCCTCCACAAGGGTGTCCACAGGGGTGAGTCCTACTGCAGGCCAGCTTGGCATACTCCTGAGAGAGGTGAAGTAAGATGATGCTTAAAAACTACAACAATGCTTGATTCACACGATTGAGATAAATTTTTCTTTCATATTTTCTGGGCATAAGACTCGTTCTGCAGTTTTTGTGTTATTTCAAGAATTTATACATCAAAACATTCAGCTCCTTCAGGATATTYCAGCTATGACATTTGGTACTTCAGCAATTTATACATTTTGAAACATTTAGCTTTTTCAGCCATTTTTTTTAAATGAATAAAGCTATCTTCAACATTCTTAAAATCCTTGAAAATAATCATTCATAAATTTTTACTGTACTTTTTAACTTTTGTTCTGATTCTGCTTTTTATGAACTCTAATTTAATCTTCCTTCGGCTTCTATCTTGCCAGTTTTAGCTTTTTTTCTGCAGTTCTGCCAATTTCAACTTTTTTGTGAATTTTCCCACTATTTTAAGCTTTTTGTGTTTTTTTTTCAGCTGCTGTCTGTTTTATTAGCTACTTTTTAGCTAACATGGGCTTTTCTCTGCTAAATTCACCTTTTTGTGTTAAGTTCAGATTCTTGCTGATTTCTGATTTTTTTTGTGTGCTAATCTCAGCTACTTTTTAAAAACCTATTTTTAGGCTAGTTTTAGCATTTTTAGCTTTTCAGCAAAAATCTTTCAGCATTAATCATTCACACTACACTTTTTGCATAAAATGCAAATTCTGTAGTTCAAATTTATTATTTGAGGGAATTAACAAGTATATTAAACTACAATCCACATTTATTCATCTTCTTAAATATATGAACACCCAACAAGTATATTTTCACAAAGCAAAACTGGATTATGTATATTATATTTTTATTAAATTGGTGTATAAATATTCTGTCTGGTCTGTGCAAAAATGAAATCCAATTCTTGACAAAATAGAAATATTTTGTTTAAAAATACATACAAAGTATTAAGAAAAAAACCTATTCAACTATTAAGGTTCTCAATAGTTTATTTTATTATGTTAGGATTATTTATTTTGTTTTCTATTTTTGATATGTATGATTCACACGATTATTATTACTACATATATTGAAAATTAAAAAAAAATTGATTTGGCATTGAAATAAGAAACATCTGAACAGAGGTTCTTCATCAACTCTGATTTGATATTCAGATTTTGTTCATGCTTCATACCTGACAGTCTGGGTCTGAACAGACACTACCCACAGCAGACAGCTCAGTACCGTTTCTTGTACCACAGAACCTGCAGGCGTCTGAGCTGCTAGATGCTGGTTTACCTGCAAAAACATTTAGCTTGTCAGACCAACTCTATGTGTGTGTGAAACATGGGGGTGGAAAAACTATGTTTAAAACCTCTCAGAGAAAATGACATTAAATTGTTTATTATTACACTGATGTGTTCTTTGGTCTGTTACCTGTGTGCTCTCTGAACTCCACCATGGCCTTCATTGTCTTTGAGTCTGCAAGAGCCATGAGCCAGAAGAGCTTGGTCCTTCCACAGCCTTCATGGAGATCAACCTTTATGGCCTCCTCTTCCTCCTTGAACACCTGACACAGATAAAAACAACAAAGTTATTCAAAACAGAGAAAAACACACTGATCACCACCAGTACCRTTTGTAATTCATATTCAGGTGAACACTCAGAACTAACCTGTCTCTGGTGGGAGCGTGTTCGTCGGTGCAGGTGGAGGAAGCGATCACAGTCGGTGCAAAGATTGCCACACATGTTACACAGTATGATGGCTGCCGTCTCACCGTCATCATGATTGTCACACATAGGCTGTGAGTAGATAAAAAGAGAATAAATTAAGTTGCCCTGTTTATTCCCYGTTCACTGTAGCTTTTTGCTGTGAGTCTCACCATCTGCTTCTGCTGCCCGTCTTTGCCCATCCACCGACCAGAGGACAGCCTGTCCACATGATCCTGGTCGAGCACACACAGAGACGCCAAGGCCAGCCACAGCTAAGGAGAGAGTAAACAGGAAAGAAAATCAGAAACAGACAGTGTTCCTAAGCACTGATTCATACCCTGTGAATAACAGTCTTCATACCCTTGTTGTTGCGATACAGCGAACAGGAGACCGATGCTCCTCCTCCATTTTAGTGAGGGCTATGATGGTTTCAGCGATTGCATTTTTGGTAATTCTGGACCAGGCATCTGAAAGGTGACCCTAAAAATAAAAAACAACAGTTAGAGGTAGTTTGACCGGTATATTCACCTTTACAGCACGTTTAAAATTACAAATAAAAAAAAAAATCACTCACAGCTGCCATGTCTTTGATCAGCTTTATGATGATCTCAGCTATCTGTGGAGGCGTGGAGCCTTTCATCCACCAGTGGCTCTCACCTCTGCGAATGTAACTGAGGAAAAAAAAAAAAAGCAAGATGAGCAAAAAATATAATATGTAGAAAAAAAAAGATGTGTTTTGTTAATTGGTCCTCAAAGCTGGCTCACCTGGAGTTAAAGATCATGGGCAGAGTGACAGTCGTGACGCCCTTTCCTGCAACCATGCCGCCCGTGCCGGAGATAGTGCTGCCTTTGGCTTTCAGTTGCACAGTGAGGGCTTTGGCAATGCAGCCCAAGAACATGTCAAGGATGCCAAGTTTGTTCCAATCACCTTTCTCCGTGGAGTGGATGATGTCGCTGATGTCCGCTGGCGGCAGAGCCTTCACCCCGATTATGCTGGCAAGTCGCACTGGCGTCACCTCTGGTAGGACACGTCTAAGCAATGATGTCACCTGGACAGAGGAAGCCCAGAAGATACAAAAAAATAAACTTCATGGAGCMAGCAAAGAATATTTACCTTAATGTGCAATCACTGAGAGCCCACTTGCAATGTGTATTCTTGCTGCATCATGCATTTCATTTTACTGCCAGCTGATGGCAGTGTTGCACAATACATTTAGTCACAAACTCAAGATTAATAAAAAAACACTGACAGCCACAAAGTGTTTAATGAGAGGTTTGCTGTACTGTAAGTCAACAGAAAAGCTCAGAATCTGCTGTAAAACACTGAATTAAGAAGTTAGTAACAGTGTGTTTATGTTCACATTACCTGTCTCTGCACTCTGGGAGAAGCAGTGTGCAGAAGAGAAAACAGGTCCTGCATGAGTGTAAGCTGCTGAGCCAGGTACTGCCGGCCCACATTCGAGCCACTCAGAGCCAGAACCATGGAGAGCAGCTCAAAGCAATACGCGTCTGAGGAGGCGTCGTCGTCGCTCGGCTGCGAGTTGGCATTTTCTTTGCTGGAGATGGCGTGTTCCCACTCCTCCCTCACCCGCGTGGCCTCCATGCGGATGGCTTGAACGATGTGTGCGCACACCTGCAAAATACAATACAATTATTAGGTTTGATATCACATATCAGAGGTTTATTTCTTTGTTTTTGTAAAGTACCTGTTTCTGCAGGTTGGTTAGTTTGCTCCTGCTGAAAATGATTCCCACCATGTGCTCTTTGAGGTCTGCATCAGATGGTACCTGTTTGCAGAAACACAGAATGTGGTTAAAAATGAATAAATGTTAGCAAATCTTTCAGAAATGTTACTTATAAAAGGGTGCAGACCTTGTCCTCTCCTTCTGGTGATGAAAGTAGGTTTTTCTCCTCCTGCTCTGGTGTTGGCTCTGCATCCCCACAGATTAGTTTTCCAAAGACCTAAACATTAACAGAAAGTATTTATTAAAACATYTTCAATAATGTGACCCTGTTAATCAAATGCGTTATCCACAAAAACATAACCCAGTGGTCATAATGCACTGACCTGTGAGGTGATGAGGCGGAAAACCCTGAGAGTCTCAGCCTCACAGTTTTTCTGCTGGGCCATGCTGGCTGAGATCTGTCCGAGGATTTTGATGCTCTCGCCCTCTTTCCAACCGAGAACCTTAACCTGACGCACCCTCAGAGTGTTTTCGGGGCCCTTCAGTTCCACTTTGATCACATGRTAATCCCCACCAGGAAGCTCACTTGTCACCCAGCCCATGTGACGTGAGTCGAGGTCAACCTGAAATGAAACAGACCAAGAATGAGCCTCAAGCTCCTAACAAAACCGAGTAAATGCCATTTTAATGCCATTCTTGCACCACTGACAGTGATTGCATAAACTATAAACACTTTTCTTGTTTTGGTTTCTTAAGGAAGATTAAGTCGTGTGTCTTAGTTTGCAAGCACTTCCTTTCAACCCTAACCTATTGAAGAAAACGCTGCAGGATTAGAAGAAGTGTGGAGCTAAACTCAGTTTAAATATGTGATGAATGTCTCCCTGTTACTGTTTTATTTGGTCTGTTTAAATAATTTGTTAAACCAAATACAAAGTTTCTGTATGTCATCAATTATTCTCCTGTTAATAATCTGTATGTTGTTTAAAGGAGACATGCTTTTAAATCCTTATTTTTCACATTTAAATAATTCAGTTTGGGTCTATATAAAGACAAACTTCAATGCTTCAGTCTGAATTCCTCCTTACTGTAACTCCACAAGCCCCTCTTTCACCAGTTTTCTGTGGTGTGTCTCAGATCAACTCATTTTGAGGCTGTCTCTTTAAATCCACACCCCACCCCCCTGTCCAGCTTCCAGAGCGGCTCATTCCAGTGTGATAGAGAGCTTTATGATTATATAGCAGTGCAGAAACTTTTAATTTAAAAATTACTGTATTTATTCATGTATTATACTAGAA